CTTCGGAACCCCGGTCCGGCCCAGATCCCCCTGGGACGCCTCTCGGAACGCCAGTCTGGCCCAGACTCCCCCGGGACCCCCTTCGGAACTCCACTCTAGGCCAAACCTTCGCGGGACGCCCCTCGGAACCCCCGTCCTGCCCAGACATCCTTGGGATGCCTTTTGTGACCTCAGTCCTGCCCAGACTCCCCTGGGACACCCCTTGAGACCCCAGTGGGGCCCAGAGCCCCGCAGGGCATACCTCGGGACCCTGGCCCAGCCCAGAGTCCCACAGGCGCCCCTGGGGACCCCTCAGATTCCTCAGATCCGGCCTGTACCCCCTTCCCCTTTGGATCCAGGGCCAGTCTGTGTCTCCTTCCCTCTCTGGATCCCTGACTCTTGAGTCCCCTCAAACTCCCTGAGCCTCAGCCTGCTGCCTCTTCTCCCTTAAACCTTCGCTGAGGTTTGAGTCCCCCTGGGACTCCTGGGACCTAGGCCCGCCCTAAGCCTTCTTGCTCCTCATCCTCTCCCAGGCCTGAGCCCTCTCTCTCCCCTGATGCTGTCCCTGCCTCAGCCTGCATGTCCGTTTCTCCTCAAACCCTGGCCGGGGCCTCGGTCTTTTCCCACAAGGGCCCAGGTCTGTGTGGATTGTCCCCCCTCCTTGGACCTGGGCTTGCTTCCTCAGACTTCGACTCGCCCTGTTGCCTCTTCCCTCTGGTTCCAGGCCCTGGTCACTCTCCCCCAGCCCCAGGTGCCTGAGGGACTGTCCCTTTCACCTTCAGACCCTCTTCTCTTAGACCAGGCCCAGGGGCAGGTTCTGCTCTGACCTGGGGCCCCCATGCCCTTCAGACACCAAATGCCTCAGTCCCCTCGGCTTGGGCTCTCTTTGCCCCGGGACCCTGATTTCCGCTTCCTCACCTTTTCCCCTAATTCAGATCTCTCTCCTCACTTGGTTCCTCCAGCTTCCACCGTCCGCCCTTCACAGACCTGCAGTCTCCCCAGAACCCCCGTGCCTCTCTCCTTACAGTCGGGGTCTCCCACTAAATCCCAACATCCCCCAGCCTGATGCTGTGACTTTCAGCCCCTGCCCTCTCTCCCCCACACCCCATTTTCCCTGCCTTGCTCCAAACCCAGCATGGTTCCCCAGTCTCCCTGAACTCTCCCCTGGTCTCTCTCCCTTCGCCCTGGAAACCCGGAGCCAATCCTGTTGGTACTGGTAAACCCAAGGCCTTTCTGGCCCCTGGTCCCCCTGCACCAGCTCTGCGCTTTGGTCCTCTAGCCCCTGCCCCTCCTCAAACCCAGGACCGTTGCGGCCTCCAATGTGGGATCATTTATTTCTTCATCCCCTGCTGCCCCTGGCTTCCAGGGGCGCCAGGCCAGGAAAGGCGGTGTGGGGCTGTGGGGGTGGCAGCTGAAAGCTCCGCCGTTAGCGAGGGCAGGTTGGGGCGTCCCTGGCTGCTGGCGCCACCGAGGCGGCAGCTCTGTCTGGTAAGGCGCTGTGTGGCCTCGAGGTGTCGGGGTGGGGGGCAGGAGACCCCCCCCCCCCGCCCGTCCCGGCTGCCTGTGCTGGCACAGGGTCACTAAGGCTCGTACCTGTGGCATCTTCTCACCATGATTAACCTTTCGGCTGTGCTGTTGCGTGGTGTGAGTTCATTTCCTTTGAAGGGACAGAGCATGTTGCCTTGAATCTGTATTGAGTTAAACTAAACAAAATGTACCTTCAGGGTCCACTTTCAGCCAAGCCCGCCTCTGGGAAAGGCCTGTTGGGGACACACAGGCTTAGAACGTGGTTCCCGCCTCCCACCCTCCTGCTAGTCCCCGGGGAGGTGTCTTGGGCCCGGATATGTCCACTCCCCTTGTGATGTGCTGGGCCCTGGCTATCTGGGCGGTTGTCGTTTATGTCAGTGGAATGGAGGATAGGCCGGGAGATAACTGTCTTGCTCGGGTGACTTGGTGTCTTGGTGACTTGGTGTCTTGGACTGGTGAACACACTCGGCCCGAGAGAGCGAGATCTCCACTTCCCACTGCGGCAGCCACTAGCCTATGCGGCTGTTTAAATTGACAAGAACCACAATGGGAAGTTCCTCAGTTGCACCAGCCACATTTTAAGTGCCCAGTAACCACCAGTACTGGGGGACAGGCCATCTCATTGGGCGGCACAGAGACAATACCGTCATGGCAGAAAGTTCCATTGGACAGGGCTGGTCTAGATCATCGCAGAAGTATTTGTAAGTGAACCTGGTCCCAGGGGAGAGTATGTGCCACCCCTTAGTCTGTTTCTCCATCCCCGGCTGCGTTTTCATGCAAATTCGGGAGAGGCCCAGGAGCTCTGTCCCTTCTTACAGGGATGGCGGCCCCTGGGGCGACAGGAGAGAACAGTGTCTTTTACCCATGTGGGTGAGTTGGCTGTGAATGTTCCAGAATGACTTCTGGGGCATGGAAACGCTTTGAACCCAGCAGAATCTCGGCTTTCCCTTTCTCCCCCAAGATGCCCCACACCTGTCCTTGGTCTGATGGGAAAAAACCGTACCCTCCCCTAAGGGCCTGCCTGCTTTGGGAGACCTTGCTTCTCTACCTTCCCGATGTACTTTATAGAACTTTCAGCCCAGCTAAGAAAGGGGATTCTGCATTTGCCCTGGGCTCCCACCTTCTCGGGAAAAAGTCTAGTTCCCTTGCCCTGACCCATCTGTTTGCTTTCTCCCCAACCCTGAGTCTGTACTTACAAGTCCACTGTCTGTGAGACTTGTATTTTTTTAGGGGGGAAGGAGTGATGTGTTTTCGGGTTGAGGTCTTTGCTCACTCTGCAGTCATGTCTGGGAGGCGTGTGATTTATCTCCAAGGATGGTGGGGAAGGAATGGGCATGTGTAAAGCCTGAGCAAATGCTGGAAAGATCAGTAAAGAGGGTGGGAGGGTTGTCCCTGGGGACAGGGGTTGCCTAGGGAGCTGGAGGTGGTGTCAGCGTCTGGGTGGTCCTGTTCTCCACAGGACCGGGGAGTCCTGTTCACAGAAGCATCGACCCAGTGAATCAGACAGTTGAGTTGCTGATTCTTCCGAAGGCTCTCCCAAGTTTGGGTTTGGGAACCTGTGACTGTACTCTGTTGTTCCAGAAGGGGTGGTTTGTTTCTAGCAGTGATGGCCCATTTTACAGACATGGAAATGGAGGCCCACGAAGGCGCCAAGAGGAGTCAGGGCCTGGTGGGATTCTCAGGGAGCTCTGTTCTTTCCTCGAACCTTGTGTGGAAAAGCTCAGAATTGCGCAGAAAGACCACTGATGTCAGAGTGATGGGCTTCTCCCCAAGCCAGCTCTGAAACTATGGCCAGATGGTCAACCTGCCAAGATTTTGTCCTCAAGTTAGTGTGTTGTCAAGTACCTGAGGGCAGGGACCGCAGCCCTCTTCCCTTTTACGTCCAGTAGTTCCCCCCCCCCCCCCAAAGCCCCAGTAGATAGTTGTATGTCATAGCTGCACATTCTTCTAGTTGCTGTATGTGGGACGTGGCCTCAGCATGGCCGGAGAAGCGGCACGTCGGTGCGCGCCCAGGATCCGAACCCGGGCTGCCAGCAGTGGAGGGCACGCACTTAACCGCTAAGCCACGGGGCCGCCCCTCGTCCAGTAGTTTCTAACTCGAAGTTTGGCGCTGAGCTTCGCCGACTGCTGGTGAAAGAAAAGTAGCTAGGAACCGGCTCCTTTGTAACCAGGCTCACCCAGCCTGGCGGCAGATGCCTTTACTGGGGTTGTGCGCATTCAAAAATCGCGCAGTACTGCTCCCCGGAGAACTTTGGGGACCCCCAGCCCAGCATCTACACATCTTCGGGCATCTCGTACATATGTGATGTATACCCTGTCCCAGGCCTCCCCAGGGAGGCAGGCTGGTGAGGGCCAGCCTTCCCAGGAACTGAAAAGCTCTAGGGATTGTGGGTGCATTGCATATCCCCATGGTCTGCATGCTTGTCCTTAGAGAGTTTCTAGACATCCATTCGTTGAGCCCCTTCGTCGTTAACCTTGTGCCCTGAGTCAAAGGGAGCAGGCCTGATGGAGCCAGAAGAGGGGTGCAGCTGTCACTGAGAGGTCCCTGCCTCTGGCTGTGTCCCCATCTCTGGGCAGGCAGCCCTCTTGAGAGGGTTGTCACAGAGGGACGTTGGTTGTTTCCCCATCTTCCTCCCATTCTGATTCGGTGGCTGCTCCTGAGAGCCCCCGGTCGGGTCTGGAGGGAGAAAGTTCTGCACGGAGTGTTTTCTCTGGTCTAGTGTTTCTGTCGCTCCGTGGAACCAGCACCTTGTCGCATATGTGCGTGCCTGGACCACATTGCCCGCAGCCCTGCTGGGTCCGTTCGGACTTGGCGCAGTCAACCCAGGCTCTTCCACACGTTCTCCTCCTGGGAGGGGAGGGAATTGTTGCCCCTGAGGGAGTCAGATGCAGCTGCCAAACTCCAGGCGTAATTATACCACTTGGAAAAGTGCGAATTCCCAGAGGGAAGGGCATCTGTTAGAGAATTCCCACCTGAAAATTAGGGGAAATCTTGCAGATGAACTTGGTGTTAAAGACCTGCCTTCTGGGGCCCAGCTGAAGGAGGGGTTCGCAGGAGGCGGGAAGGATCCGGTGAAGAAAGGGCTTTGAGGCCAGTGGAGCTGGTGGAACCAGGCTGGCTCTTTCTCTGCCAGGTGATGGCCATTGGGTCCTCACCTGGAGGGATCTGTACTCTTAGGTATGAAGTATCTGGGAGCTGCCCTCCCGGGTCTGTTTCCCTGGCTTGCGGGACTTGGGATCCCGGCCCTTGGGTTCTAAGTGCCCTCTGCCAGTTGGCCTGGAGAGAGGGCAGTGCCCAGTGGAGGCCTTCTGCCCAAGCGTAACCGTCCCCAGATGGCCCTCAGAGCCCTTGAGCGCACCATCTCCGTGCCTTTGGGAAGATTTCCCAGAAGTAAAATAGTTAACCCTTTCTGAGGCAGGCCTGGAATGTCCCCCTCTGTTCCGGCCTTTTGTTGGGGGAGCGGGTGGCAAAGTGGCCCCCAAGTTGCCGGGACATGGCGGGGACTGAGGCCCGGCTGCTTCCAGCCCCCCACTCTGGGGGTCCTGCGAGCAGCCAGCAGGACTGGTGAGATTCACCATTCTGAGGTAGTCGTGAGCTTAACGTAACCAGCAGTGAACGTTTTTAGCCAGGCCCCCTTCCTAGAGACAGAGGAACTGACTGGCTTCTGCTCTTTGGTTCTGGTGGACGGGGAAGAAGTCCAGGTACAGTAGGGAAGGAGAGGGGCAGACCCCTGAGGGTGAAATCGGCTTAGCTGTGCTAGTAAATTGTCGTGACTTGACAAGTCAGAGTAGTTGGCCAGGGCTCAGCTTCTTCCTTGCCTCCAGTTCAGTCTAGCGTGAAAGTCTCGTTGAAGCAGTGATTTCTTTTTTAACATAGTGGCCTAGAGTCCGTGTTATCCCACTGTCTTTATTTCTTAGAAGATTCCAGAGGTCGAGGGCGTGCTCCTCTCCTGAGTCCACCAGGGTACAGAAGGCCAGGCATTGGAACCTCGAACCTGGGGGGTGTTGAGGCTGAGTTGGCGCCAGCCCCCTGGGGCACAGACGCTGCCCGGGCAGAGCGTTGGGCATGGCCTACCGGCTGCAAAGATTCCCCATCGCCGCCTCGGAACCTTCCTGTTTACTTTGGCCTCTGGAGCGTATTTTTGGCGCTTGCCTTTTCCCCCTCTCCGATGGCGCTGTTGTCTTCCATTCTTTCACAATCACTGCTCTGCCTCTCGCGTGCCCTGGGTGGGAACCCCACGTACTCAGAAGTGCCGGGAAGGCAGCCCAGGTTGGAGCAGCCGGATTGCTGAATAACAGACTCAGAGGAGACAGCTCATTACGTGGGAGTTAACTCCAAGGAGCCGAAAGTCGTCTGGAGGAGTGTTATTGTTATGATTATACGTATTTGGTTTTCCACCTGTAGCCCTCCCAGCAATCCAGGGATTATCTCCCGATTCCTCAGTGTGAAAACAGATCAGAGAGGAAGAGACACACGTGTTTCTGACACACACGGAAGTGTGTATGGTGATTTACAGCCCTTTCGGAATAACGTAAATATTGTTGGGGTTTGTTTATGTTGAATGTCGCCTGTGTGCAGCGCTCTGCACAGAGATGCTCGTGGTCGATGTGAGCATTACGTGTTTATCCAGACCCTTAGTCCTTCATCTCTAGCTTTTGGTGGGCTATTTCCTCCTGAATATCCCACTCCCCCCGCCCCACCGTCACGTGGCATCGGTGCATCCCAGCTACCTGGGTCATGAAGTTATTTGAGTCTCCTCGTCTCTCCTCCATCCACCCTTTCCGGGGTTCTCCCGTTTCAGGCTCGACTTATCCCCCCTTTCCAGCCACTCCCTCTGGTTGCCTCCTGACAGGCGTGTTTTGGTTGTTTATCTGTGCTTTTCTGCCTTCAGCCCAGACCAGACACAAATGGCTGGCGTACTTTTACTCAGACACTGTTCCCTCGCATCCATCACCTGCTTGCAATTGGCTGTCATTTCTTTTGTGTCAAATCTAAACGCTCCATCCTGATCCCCGCCCCTCCCTCCGGTGAACCCGGCTCCCACGAGGCCCTGCTCAGCTTTTCCCGTGTGGCCCCCCAGGGGCTGTTGTCTGTGCCGGGGAACTCCTCTGCCCTGTTTTCACAGCTGGCCCTCTAAGTGCCCAGAGCCTCCCACTAGCTCCTCATATATCAGGACCACCGTGTCCTTATCTGCCACCTTGGCCCTTCCCTCTTGGAAAGCACTGCTTAGAACGCGCTGATCTGGGAAGGCTCTCTAGTTTAAGTCATCCAGTGTTGTTGGTGCCTCCTGTACTGTGGTTCCAAGATTGAGGCTAAAAGGACAATCGAGGTGTGGCCCCGGGAGGCAGCAGCGAGCAGCCCAGCAGCAGGGGTGGGCTGGAGTGGGCGCACAGAGTTGGTTGTACACAGACCGCTGTGGAGACGCTGAGGGGCTGGTTGGTTTCCAGTGTGGCGGTCGGAGAGGGCTCTGGAGAAAGTAGCACTTGAGCTGGGGCGTGAGGGACGAATGGAATGTCGATGAGCAGAGAGATGAGTGTGGGGCACCCAGGCTGCAGGCTAGAAGGAGCGGAGGTGGGCAGGGTGGACGCTCCTGGTGTGTTGGGATGGCTAGCGACCCATCGAGGCGGAACGTAGGGTGTGTGCATTTCCTGTGCTTCCTCAGTTCTGAGCCTCTAAGGCATGCCACCAACTTAGTAACAGCTTCTGTGTGTTTGTCTGTGTGTGTGTGTGTGTGTGTGTGCATTGGGTGGACCCTCAATACGTGAAACATACACGTGCACTGCAGATACACTCCAACATCAAAAGGGTTAAAGAGCAAAAAACCACGAGCATCTCAGCCTTGAGGAAGCACACAGGTGGGAGAGGGTGAGAGCCGAGGAGAGGAGAGACAGAGGGAGGTGTGCTGAGGCATTTGGACTTTATTCTGAGGGAGTGGCGAGCCATCGAAGGCTTTGAAACAGGGCGAGCGATAGGATCTGTCTGCCCTGTTTTCATGGCAGTGACTGACAGCGAGAGGAGGGCGAAGAGGGAGAGGACGCTGGTGGCAGGGTTAAATGGGGTCTCAGCGAGGTCTGGGAATATCAGAGAAGAGGCAGGTACAGGGGGGACTGTGGCCATAAGGGTGCACGGGGTCAGTTGGTGGGAAAGGGAGTGGCAGGTGCAGAGCGGGAGGCTTCTGGTCTGGGGCCTGGGAGGGCGGTTGAGTGGAGGGAGGGCTGGCTGGCGGAGCCCGGCGGGGGAGCTTCCTTTGGGAAGCGTGAGATCCACCGCCTGCCCGCCGACTGACCTGCTCCCGGTTATTTCAGCACTTAGGAACAAGTGTCCGCTTGGCCTCTGCCTCCCTTGTAACATTCTTGCACTTGGTACTAAGTGTCAGGCTGTGTCCGTGAGAAGTCTGGGGAGGAGTGCACAGGCAGAGTGGATGTTTACAGTGGGTTCCTCGTAGGAGGTTCAGCCCACCCAGCTGTAGCGGGTGCTTGGAAGGTTTGTGGCTTTGTGATCGGTGGAGTGGAACCATCACAAGCTGCCTCACGCTCCGGGCAGAGCGTCAGACACAGGCACACAGGGAGCCTGACTGCTGAGGCTGCAGGTCGGCCTGGGACTCGTCCCCAGGTGGTGTCATGCTCGCCCCTCCCTTCTCGCCGTGAGGCACCCTTCTGCTTTTGGTGCCAGGACTCCCGGGACCCCAAGGGTCTCTGTTCTCCAGGAGGCATTCTGAGGGTGGAGAATGAAAATGCTGTAATCAGGGAACCTGGGGGACTTGACCAGGGAGGCAAGATGGCAGAGGGGCAAAGGGAGCAGGCCCTTGGGGGCCACACACCTGGGCTTGAATCTGGGCCCACTTAGCAGCTCTCTCTCGGAGCCTCAGTTTCCTCACCCATAAACGAGTTAATTGCACTCCAGGTCGCAAGATGATTTCTGATAGTGAAAAACACTGAGGACAGACGATATGATAAAGAGTGACGAGGTGGTGGTGGGTGTGTTCAGATGGGGTGGCCAGGGAAGGCTTCCCTGAGGAGGTGACAGTTGAGCCGAGACCTCAGTGACAGGAAGGAGCCAGCCATGGGAAGGCCTAGAGGAAGAGGACCCGAGGCAGAGGGAACCACAGGTGCCAAAGCCCTGAGGCAGGAATGAGCCAGGCATTTATTGGAGGACTAGCGGGCAGGCTGTGCCCCGGGATGGAGAGGACAAGGGGAGGATGGGGAGGAGACGTGGAGCCTCGAGTGGGCTTGCTGGGGAGAGAGGACTTTGCACACTGCCTGGCCCACCAGCAGCACCCAGAAGCTGTTCGCCCTCCCGTCACTGGTTCAGGAGCCTATGGCACTGCTCGGGGGTCTTTTCATTCACCGTGGCCTGCGTTGACCGTGCTCTGTAGGCGCCGGGGCGACAGCTTGCAGTCCCCTGCTGTAGGCTTTGCGCTGACCCTGTGCCCACCTCTTTCTCCCGCCAGTGCACTGTCCAGGTCAAGTTAGAGCTGGGACACCGCGCCCAACTGCGCAAGAAGCCCACCACGGAGGGGTTCACGCACGATTGGATGGTGTTCGTCCGCGGCCCCGAGCAGTGTGAGATCCAGCACTTTGTGGAGAAAGTGGTCTTCCGGCTGCACGACAGCTTCCCCAAGCCCAAGCGCGGTGAGTGCCCCAGCCCCGGCCGGCAACCCTGCGGGGCCCACACCCGCCACGCTGACCATTCAACTTCCCTCCTCTCCCCGGGGAGCAGCAGGGCCCACTGGGAGCTTCCGGCTCGCACCCTCGGCTCGCTGGTGAGAAGTTACCCAGCCAGGATGCAGCCTTCTCTGACCCTAAATGGGCCTCCCCCTTCCTTTCTGCTTCTCCTTCAGCTGCCGACTTAATTGTAGGAAAAACCCGAAGGAGGTGGTGACTGTGTCACATGTCAGTATATAGATTCGGGCTCTGAGAAGCGTCCAGAGAACGGAGTCAGTGGTGGGGGTGGGAAGGGCGACCTACGCCCACCTGGTGAGCAATCAGGAAATGACTTACTGGGCCCACGTTTGGTGAGAGATGCCATTTGAAGAATCATGGTATTTGGGGCAAAAAGCATAAAAGGCGCTCCTTTCACTGCTCTCCTGTTTCTTACGCGTCTTCCTTCCCTGCTCATCCCTCACACTGCCGTTCGTTGAACACGAGTGCCACGTTCTCCCACAAAGATCTGGATTCCGTGTGGCCTGGCAGTCTAATGAGGAGAGATGGGATGGGGGTCAGAGAACACTTCCTGGAGAATTTGACGGGGAATTTGGGGACAACGTTGGTGGCCGTCTTGTGAGCTCTGTGGGGACCGAGGCTGAGTCTGTTTTCTCACCCTTGGGTCCCCACTGTGAAGCGTAGCACATCACCGGGGTTTAACAAATATTTCTTGAATGGATGTGTTGATAAAGGAAGGAAGGGCTTTTTGCTTGAAAAGTTCTTCATGGTGGGAGAGCCCCTGCTGGGCTCTCTGTCTTCTCTGTGTGCAGTACAGCGGTTCAGGGCCTGGGGGCTGAGCCCTGGGTGAGCCCTGGGTGAGCGGGGACGGCCTCAGGCTAAAGCAGGAGCGCACCCTGGGACCCAGTGGGGGCCGGGCCTGGGCCAGCAAGTGGCTTACAGTCTGCTGGGGAAATGACGCATGTTACAGAAGTGGAAACTTCTGGTTCAGAAGGGGAGTCAACTCGAGATTCCTAGTGACGTGGCAGCCATTTCTTTCTCTTCTGGTTTCTTCCCTCAGCGTCCAGCTGTGCCTTTCCCTCATTTCTCTTTCCCTGAGTCTTCACTTTCGCCCCTTTTCCTTCCTTCCTCTCTGAGCCTCTTGGAGGAGAGCAGATATGGTTACTGACATGGGCAGATATCTTTCAAACACCTGTCACTAGTAATGATGCGTGCCGCTTATGGAGTCCATGCCGCAAGGCTCTTTTCACCTGCAAGGTCTGGATTCGTTCTCACCCCAGCCCTCTTTTACAGACAGGGAGCAGTGTCCTCTGTGGTCGCCTTCACACCTTGACAGCCGAGTGGGAGCTGTGGCTGCCTCCCTCTCCTCCTTTCTCAGGCAGCTTCCCCTCCAGCTCTTCACCATCCCTCACCTGTCCTCTCCCCTGCTCTCGGGGATGGACCCAGGATGATGATTTCCATCCACCTTTGAAGTGCTCATTTCGTCTTCGTCCCCCACTGGGTCAGTCACCAAGCAGCTACCAGAAGAAACATTAATAGTTGTCTGCGCTTATCACGCACTCGCTCTGTGCCGTGAGCTCTGCTCGTGACAGCCCTGCAGTGTGGTCCTCTTGGGATCCCCATGGAATCCACCAGGTAGATGTGGATACTGAGGTTCAGAGAGGCCCAGCGACCCACATGTGGTCACGTGCACGCGGCAGAGTCTCTGAGCTCCAAGTACCTGAAAAATGGGGCGATGAATGAAGCGCACTCTTGACTTGTCAGTGTGCGGGCAGAGTTTAAATTAGTAGCTGGAGGGTGCTTGTTGCAGAGTCTGTCTGTGGGCCCCTGCACAGATGACCGCTGCTTCAAATGTGTCCAGTAGTCAATGCCCTGGTCACTATTTGTCCTCAGTGCAACGTGGGTCAGGTTCAAGAGCCAGTGAATTTCTTACAACACTCTAGCCTCTGAAATTATTCTTTATGTACTTAAAAAGTATGTTTTAAATCAAATATATACATGTAACAAACCGAACAGAAATGCGCAGCAGGGGACGTTGGCATTTCCGGTCTCATCACGGGCCATACCACTCCACACTGCAGGGGTCATCTTTCTGGATTGTGTCCTTCCTTAATGCTTTACATTAGTAGAAGCTGATTTGCTTCTTTTTCAAATTAAAAAACCATTTATTAACTAACCAGCATGAAAGTTAGGCTTTTTCCTAAACTCTGACCCCTTTTATCCACCGTCTGCTCTAAATGTTTCAGAGTTCAGTGGTTCGTTTTGCAGGGAATGTCTTTGTGACTTTGAATAATGAGCAAACCTGCTTACCTTCTGGAACCTCCACAGAAGGCTCCATGTCACTTTTTTTAGGAAGTCCTCTGGCTGCGGGGTCTAAATCAAAGTTTCTTTCCTCAAAACACCTACACAGCCACATGCTTCTTAGCCTTCTTTCTGTTTTATTTTTCTCCTTAGCGTCATGTTGACATGTTGTATATCTTACTTATTTATCTTGTCCGTCTTCCCCTGGCCCCCTAGTGGGAGATTTGTGTCTGCTGTATCCTGGTGCTGAAAGGATGAGGCAGGTGTTACTAAATACTTACCGAGTGAGTGGATGGATTCTTCAACCCTGTCACCTTTGGTCCATGGCTTCTGACTTCCCACTCAGGAAGAGAAGGACAGGAGCCCCCTTATCTTTCTTCGAACCTTCCACCCCTCCTTGTGGGAGCTACACTTGACATTGTTAAGGTTGTTGAACGAAAACTGAGACTTCTGCTCTCAGATCAGAGATGGAGTGTGAAAGTTGGAATACAGCACATGGCGTTGACTTTATTGACTCTGTTCACTGTGGGATGCTGGGATTTCCTTCATCCTTTCTGTGAACTCTGGGGCCCTCCAAGGAGAACGCTCGAGGTCCCCTCAAGGTCAGATGGGTTCTTTTTTATCATTCTTGGTTAGAATTCGGCCCTGTTTGCTTTGCTTCATATTCTAGCTGTGACTTTGTGAATACCCTCTGCTTCTCCTGTTTTCCCCTTGCGTTGTGTCTTCATCGTCCAAAGTGCTTCACTGTTGTGCCATCCTCTCAATCCTTTCATTTGTTGGGTGGGGTTTTTTCCCTGGATAGTTCATCTGACTCTGTCTTCCTTCTTTAATCGGGACTGGCTCCTCTCGAGACCACCTCTTTAGCCATCACCCTGGGACTTTCCTGTACTGTTCTCCTGGGGGATTTATTTATTACCCTGTGTTTTGGTTTATTTTCTTGTTTTACTGGAGTAATTTCTCAAGTAACGTCCCAAGAGATTAAATTACTTAGCAGATTCCTAAGAAAGGTATGTGGGAAATAAACTCTTTGACGCCTAGTGTATTTGCAACTTACTCTGTTCTCACACTTGAATGACCGTTTGGCTGGGTATAACGTTCTGGTTTGAGAATGACCATCACTTAGAGTTTTAAAAGTATTGCTTCGTCGTCTTCTGAGAAGTCTGAAGCCAGTGGGTTCTCAGTCTATTACACATGACCTGTTTCTTTTTCCTCTAGAAGCCTTTAGGATGTTTTTTACAACATTACATCTGGGGCCTTTGTTTGTTCATCGTGTTGGATGTTTGATGTCCTTCATTTTAGCTCTGGAAAGTTTTCTTCTATTTCTTTGACAATTTCTTTCCATCTATTTATTTTCTCTTTCTGAGATGCTCACTACTTAACTGCTCTATGTCTGAGTCTTTTCATCTGGAGAATGGGAGCAACTGTATCAGCCTCGTGAGGTGGTTGTCAGGATTAAATGAGTTCATACATAGAGAGTGCTGAGGTTTGTGCCTGGCACACAGTGGGTGCTTTATAAGTAGGAGCTGCTGTTAGCATTTGTTTATCTGCTGAATTGTGTCTTCACTCACATCTCACCCTTTACAAAAAGGTGTCTTTCTGCTCTACATTCTGGGAGATTTCCTCGACTGTTTTTCCAGTCTTAATATTGTATTCTAAAACCATGAGTACTATATTTGTAATATCTAAGAGCCCTTTCTTACTCTCGAGTATTCTTTTTCTAAAGTATCTTGTTTTTATCTGTTGGGCATATCTTGGATCTGAGGACATTGGCTCTAGGTGTTTTTTCTTTCTCCCAAGTTCTCTTGTGGTCCCCAAATTATTCCTGTTTCCTTGGGCTGTGTCCTGCAGGTGGGAGCTCCCACTGAGAGCTCTGTTCAGGGCAGAGGGAGTTCTTTTGACCAGCAGGCTTCTGGTGAGGGAGGTGGGCCCCCAGGCTCCTGGATGAGGAGGGCTTTACCCTGGAGTCCAGTTCTCATACCGTGAGCTTCGGTTTCCTCCACACCGTTGGCTCTTCTCTTAAGACCTGGAACCACCGGGAGTTCCCCAGAAGGAAATTTGCCTGCCCGTGCTGGGATGGGGGTAGATGCGAGAGGGCTCCCCAGGGCTGGTTGTTCCAAATACAGTCTCTCCATTTGGCTTTTTGCTTTTTTAAATTACTGCTTTACTGAGATATGTTACACATGGTACAATTCACCCTTTTAATGTGTACAATTCAGTGTTTTCGGTGTATTCGTAAAGTTGTACAGCCATCACCATTAATTCCAGAACATGTTCCTCACCCCAGGAAGAAACCCCTTGCCCACTGTTAGCAGTCGCTCCATCCCCTCCTCCCTCCCCTCCCGCCCTCCACCCAGCCTGTGGGTGCCCCGCCCAGGCCTCTCAGGGTCCCGGCACCCGGCGGGCCGGCTCGCCTGCCCTGCAGCGCCCCATGGCGTGTTCTGGGCTGCAGCTGCTGCTTCCTGTTTCCCTGCCGAGCACGCTCTCATCCACTTTCTGCCTTCTAGAAATTTCCTGACTGCTCACATCACCTCCCTCGCCTCTTCACTCTACTGGCTTTATTTCGTATCGTCTTTGCTTCACTTTGGTATCCCTGGGCTCTCAGGTGGGATGGCGGGTGAGCGCGTCTCCCTGTTGGTCTGGAGGCCTGTACTCTGTGGTCCCTCTTCCCCATCGCTGAAAGGATAGACGTTCTTCAGCCTTGGAGGGCCTGTCGTGTGATAGGCCTTTGGAGAGAGATTGAGAAGCAGAGGACAGGGTCCCTTCACTGAGGGGGTTTGTAGTCTGGTGGGGACATCGAGATCAGATGTAACGTGTATACTTGGAAAGAGAACTGCCTTCAGCGGAAGTAAGTGACCTGAAGGTCAGAGGACGGGAACCCAGGTCTGACCCTGCTGGGAGGTGGGCCCTGACTCTGGGCCTTAACAGCTAATGGGATTTAGACTGGGGGCTGGTGGGGAGGAGACGGACAGAGGGGCAGAGTCTGCAAGTAAGTCCCCAGGCCCCACCCTTGCCTGCGCCTCTCGCACGCCCCTCCTCTGTCGGGGGATTGTGCGGCGAGGACACGCCACCCCTCCTCTCTGTTCCTCTTTCCGTCCTGGATTCATTAATTCAGCTAGTGCTCGAGGGCCTGCAGGTGCCCAGCCCTGTGCTGGACCTGGGCGCAGAGGGCCGACCACCGCAGTCGGTGAAACTGGGTGAAGCACTAGGCAGGCAGCTTTCGGGCAGACCCCATGAGAGACCCCACTTCTCTCTCGGTCTGCTCAAACAGGGTTGAGAGACTCGCGGAGAGGCGGGCTGTGACCTACCTCCCTGTCCACGTTACTCCCTGTCCCTGGACCAGCCCCTTCCTTTGGTGGAGGCCCTGACGGAGGCATGTGGCCCACTCAGCAGTATTTGACAGATATTTATTGAATGTTTTCAGAAGGTCTGGCCCCGCTCCCGGCCCTGGGGATGTGACACTGAGTGAGACGGGGCTTATAGATTAGGGATAAGGTGGACAGAGTAAACAGAGGCCTGTCGGTGAGCGACACAGGACACTGTAGGGGGACGCATGACCTGGAAATGGGGCGGCTGCTCAGTGAGGGTCCTAGAGGGAGTGATCCGTGATCTGAGAGGTTCAGTGGGGCTGGATCTTAGGACTCGTGGCCGGGCTGGCAAGAGATGAGGCTGGAGGTGATGAAACGCCCTGCACACACCCTCAAGGGGCTCTTAGTCGATCCTGAGGGTAGTGTGTAGCCATCAGGGGACACAGATTTGTGATTTGGAATGATCATCCTGGCTGCCTGTGCACAAGTGCTCAGGAGCGAGCCTGAGGCAGGACGGCCAGTGAGGTGCCGGGCAGTAACCCACGTGAGAGGCGGGGTGTATGGCCTGGAGCAGAGACACGGGGTGCCGGGGCAGTGGGGTATGTTCAGAGTGTCGTAGAGATGGATCTGATAGTGCTTGGTGACAGGTGAGCTGTGGGAGGTGGAGAGTCTGGGTCCCGAGCTGCAGGACGCTGGGGAGGTGCAGATTTAAGAGGGGATGAGGAGGTGGTTTGGGATGGGCTGCATCTGAGGTTCCCATCCAGCCTGTGGGAGGTTGTCCTAGGAGCAGGAGACTGGCTGGGATAGAGATTTGGGGCTGAGGTCACCCATGATAGCGTCCCCAGGCTACCTGGGTCAGCCGCCTGTTGACTCAGCCCGTTGCCCTGTAGGAGGGCTGCTCCTTACTCCAGGCGGGCTGACCGTCAGACTGAGGGTGACGCCACCCCTGAGAGTAAGCTGCGAGGGACCAGAGGCATCCTCGTGGCCTCTGTCCCATCCCCGGACCTGATGCTGTGATGGTGGCATGAATGAAGGAAGGAAGGAACGCGGTCACTGCCGTGCTTGATAGCGGTAATGATTTGTGTGCAGACCCTGATGTCAGGTGACAGTGTTGAGGGTGTCCAACAGAGGCAGCCGGGGCCACTGCTGGCCTCCAGGAGGCTGTGCGGGTCCCGGGGCCATTTTAGGAGTGCCCCCGCCGCCCTAGTGGGGAGGTGAGTCCAGTTGAGCAAGCCTCGCCCCCCAGTTGTGTGCACGGTCCTGCCCTCTGGCAACTTTTCCTCTGGCGGGGGCTGGGGGCTAGAGCCTTGAGCACAGAGAGGGAACTACCGTGGGGAGCCGGGGAGCTGGGCCCCGTGCGCGGGAGGGCTGGGAGGGAAGGCGGGGCTTCAGCGGGGCTCCGGAAGCCTGGGCTACGGGTCACTCCCCTGCTCCCCTGCGGTTCAAGGACTAGGGTCCCTTGCAAGGCTGTCCAGCCCTGAGGGTCCCTAGTTATTCCAAACTCCCCCTGCTTGCCAGATTTGTTTGGATGATATATGAGGTTGCATGACATATGAAACATAAATGAGGTCCATGAGATATTTGAGATATATGATACTTGACGAGATAGTTGAGATCTGAAAAGATTTCTTTTAAAGAAAACTCTTACAGTGTTTTAATTTAAAAAAGTCATGTTTCATTATGTTCTGTGCACTGTTTTCCCACAATTTCTGGCCTGCTTAAGGTTTACTCTGTGGTACAGACGTGTGCATAAAGGTTATTAACAATGGCAGGACGTTTTTCCTGTCTCCCGACAGTGGTTGCCTCTGGAGAGGGAGGGGTGGAGGACAAGGGGGATTCGATGTGTACTGTTCTGACTTTTTTCTTAAAAGCGGGAGAACAATATCTCATGTTACTTGCACAATGACAGCACACGTGTCAAAGCATTGACAGTTCCTTCTGGAGGGTGAGACTGCGGGAGAGCTTTTACCTGTACTTTGCTGTTCTCCTTAGTTTCAATCCTTTTTTGTTGTTTTTTAAATCTCGGGGGTTAATGAGTCTATTCGCGTCACTGGGGAACACCTGTGTTAGGTGCTAAAATGGAACCCGGAGAGAGTGCCAGCTGAGACGGGGCCACCTCCGTCTCCCGGCCTCAGGCGCTGTGTCTGAGTGAGCGATGGAAGGAGGGGCTGTGGAGGGCCCTGCGCTGCCCAGGAGACCGGGCCCCGCTGGCCCTCACTTCTCCCAGGTCACGCTCACTTGCCCCTAGTCGGTTGAACTTGCGCGGCCTGTGGCTGGCAGCAGTTGCTCTCCTTAGCTAGTCTCACGCCCCTTCCTGCTCTCCTCCCGTGGCAGGACCGGCTCACATTTCTCCTGCTCTGCTCCTTTGGTTCCCTGTGACCCCTTCAACGTGGGATTTGGCGCTCCCAGGGGGAGCTCACCTCCTGAAAAGCCTCACTGCTGCGGGGCCAGCTGAGCCCGAGGGGGGAGGCAGAGAGGGCGGCGAGCTGACTGCTGGTGGCTGGGCCTGTGCGGCGGCAGGAAGCTGACAGATGCGTTTTCCCTTTCTTTTTAGTGTGCAAGGAGCCCCCCTACAAAGTGGAGGAGTCGGGTTACGCTGGCTTCATCATGCCCATCGAGGTGTACTTCAAAAACAAGGTAGGATCCTGGTGCAGCGGTGAGAAGGACGCACAGCTCACAGAAGGGGAAGTAGAGCCGTGTGCGCAGGTGACGGGATGTTGGCGTCGCGCCAGCAGGGGCACCCAAGTTAGAGCTCGGTGGGCGAAGAGCTGCGTCCGTCTCTCCCCTGGAAGGCGGGGCTGGGGACACAGGCACCCTGTGACCGCAGACGGGAGTGCTTCCAGGGATCGACCGGGCCCAGTCCCGTTCAGTCGCCTGAAAATGTACATGGTCCCTGAGTCAGCAGTGACATGCCAGGACAGGGCCAGGTTCCGTGGATGGTCCCAGAGGGTTAGTCACCGGGCCTGGGTAGTGGCAAAGACCTGGAAATTACCTAAATGTCCGACAGCATGCGATTGGTTAGATACATTTACGGTGCATTTCTGAACAGAATCTTTGATAACCTGGGAGTCGGGGAAGTGTTTTGTCCGCCCCCCCTCAAAGCCCCAGTAGATAGTTGTATGTCATAGTTGCACATCCTTCTAGTTGCTGTATGTGGGACGCGGCCTCAGCATGGCCGGAGAAGCCGTGTGTCCGTGCGCGCCCGAGATCCGAACCCGGGCCACCAGTAATGGAGCGCGCGCACTTAACCGCTAAGCCACGGCGCCGGCCCTGGGGAAGCGTTTTTAATGTTGTCAAATGAAAATAGCAAGTTATCTGTACATTATCTGTGTGTTATTGATGGAGAAAAGGAATTGTGTACATCAAAAATGTTAGCAAGGGTAATCTGGGTGGTAGGATCACAGGGAGTTTTTGTTGTGTTTTCCTCCATGTGTATTTTCTAAACATTTACAATGAAGAGAATACACATATCATCTTAGTCCGTTCGGGCTGCTATAACAAAATTCCACAGACAGGGCGGCTTATAAACAACAGACGTTCATTGCTCCCAGTTCTGGAGGCTGGAAGTCTGAGATCAGGGTGCCAGCGTGGTTGGGTGAGGGCCCTCTTGCGGGTCACAGACTTCTTGCTGTGTCCTCACGTGGTGGAAGTGTCGGGGGATCTGTGGGGTCTCTCTTTATGAAAGCACTGATCCCTTCCTGAGGGCTCTGCTCTCATGACCTAATCACCCCAAGGCCTCACCTCCTAACACCATCGCACTGGGGGGTGGGAGTCAAAATGTGAACTTTGGGGAGACACATTCAGACCATGGCTTTTTTTTTTTTTTCCGAAGCCCAATAATTAAAATTAAAAAATTCGCTTCCTGGCAGCCTGCGTCTGCTCCTCCTCATGGTGTCACCAAGAGGCCAGGGTGACCTTTCCTGGCTCAGAGGTGGCTTGGCCGAGGCTGGCTGCTTTCCACCAGTGCAGCAAGGCTGGCTGCAGGCCCAGCTCTGCCATCCTTCAGGGAAGAGACCTCCCCGGGAGGCCCTCGGATGCCACCGCTCACTTAACAGTCCCTTATTTATGCTCAATTATTCCGCAAACCGCCCGGCCTCAAGGGCCTCTGGGAATGGGGCTCAGGTGTGCTGCCCTGCTGGGAGCCGGGTGACCCTTTAGCGGGTGCAACTCAGCGAGATTTGGCTCTGCGGCCTCCCGGGCCCAGTTCACTGAAGCCTGGGCGATCCCGAGGCTTTTGTGTCCTGGAGGCCTGAGAGTCCTGGGGACCGGCCACCGCTGGGAGAAGAGCAGCCTGCGTGGGCAGAGGCCCCATGGCTCTTCAGCAGGGGCCTGGGGGAAATGTCGGGGAGACGGAAGCAGCAGGCGGCGGGGTGGTCTCCGATGTCCTGCTTGGGGCAGCCAGGCCAGGGAGTCCTCCTGCTGCTCCGGGAGTGTGGAGAAGGGGGACCTGGACTGTGGAGGCAGGGGGACCAGTGGTGGGCGAGTCCCGGGGCAGGTGTGGGGAGCCTCTGGACCTGGATGCTGATAGTAGCCCTGGGTGGTTGGGGAGACTGTGTGAGTCCACCTGCAGAGAGCACTCAGTGGCCGCGTGTGTTGGTATTTGATGGGGGCGCTGACGGGCCCCAGGGCCGCTGTGAGCCCGTTCTCAGAGTCGCAGTATGTTCTCTCGCTCAGGACAAATGCTGGTGCTTTCCTGTGCTCTGCATCCTGTTTACTGGAATCCTCTATTCCTGGTGGCGGTTTTGCCCTCCGAGCTGTAGAGGGCGACCCAGCACTGAGAGCACTTGGGAGGCGAGGCCCAGCAGGGGAAGGGCCTGGGATTTGAATCCATTCACAGGTCCCGTGGGGCGGCACGCTGTGCAGGTGCTCTGCTGAGTGGGTACTTATTTGGTCTCCGACAAGCCCCAGGGGAAGGTGATCCCCCAGTCTGTGGATGAAGGAGCTCTTGGGTACCCAGTCACGTGGTCAAGCCTGCTCGGTGATGGGCAGAGCTAGGATTTGAACCAGCAGTGCATGTGGTCATAGATGCACACCTCTTGCCTAAATAACGGAGACGCGTGACTTAGAATGATAGCTGTTCGTAAGTTCTGGTATTTCCATACATCTGGGTGACTGGGGCAGTATTATTTTATGTATTGTGTTGTGCAACTGTTGTCTAAATGAGAGTCCCTGCTTAAGGAGTTTTGTAAAGATCAGACAGTTGTGGAAAAGTGAATACAAAAAAAAGTGCATTGCAAAAGCAGCTTCTACGGGTTTGGAATCGTGTTTGAAACAGGGTCATCATGAATGATCTGCTGAGGATTTTCCACCCTGATGTGGGCAAGGGTGCGTTTGGTAGGGAAGGCAAGTTGGTCTTGGAGACAGTGAGCAAGGGGACGTGACTGTGGACAGGTTGCTTCTCGGGGCCTCCGTTTCCTAGCTGTGAGGTGGGGTTCCTAATTGTGTCTGCTGCTCAGGGCTGTTAGGAAGGTTCAGGGAGAGACGGACGGTGAGGCCCGGGGCCCAGTCCCCAGCGCATATCCAGCTCTTCATCGGTGTGTTACTGTTACTGTGAAGTGATGGGCCTCTTCCCTGTTCATCTGGGTAAACAAGCTGAATGGGAAGGCAGCCCCTCCTGAGGCTTCCAGGCTCTGAGGAGGTGGAGGATCCAGAGGTGGAGAAAGATGACGTTTGGCTTCTCTGGTGAGGGGCGGATCTGGACCCGGAGCAGAAAAGGCTCATCCTCAGGCCTGGGATGTCTCCTTGTGCCCATGTGAGGTGTTTTCAGCCACACTTGACTTGAGCATGGCATCGTCTGTGGAATGCAGGAGTTCTGTTTGACGTGGTGTTTGGCACTGGAACTTATCTGAGGCCACAGGCTGTTTGACCTGTCGGTAGGATGCTCTTTTAGAGATAAATCGCTCCTTTCCCCCAAGGAAAAGAAAATGGCAGGAGGCTTTGTCTGATCACAAATGTAAGATATGTGTGTTGTGAGCTGTTTTTACTCACACCATTTCTGACACCAAATGCACAGTGTCTGTTCTGGCGCTGCTTCTCCAGCTCTGACTCTCCAGATACAGGCGGGGTGTCCAGCAGTCCCGTCCATTTCTGACACTATACTCAGAACCAGCAGAGACCCCACAGGTTCAGGGCTCAGCCCTGCAGGACTGTCCCCACTTCCGATGCCAGTCACAAGTCCAGGCCTCCCGTACTTCTGACCGACCAGCTGTAGATCAGGGCTTCCCACGACCCCCTCCTCAGGTTCTGTCATTTGCTGGAACAGCTCGCAAAACTGATCACCATTTGCTTACTGTTACCGGTTTGTTATATGGGATGCAATTCACGAACAGCCGGATGGAAGAGACGCACAGGGCGGGGGGTGGGGCAGGGGTGCGGAGCTTCCACGCCCTTCCCATCCACGCACCACCCTCCCAGCACCCCCCTGTCCACCTACCCTGAAGCTCTCCCAACCCTGTGGGTTAGGGGTTTCATGGAGGGTTCATTATGCAGACATGATTGATTAAATCATTGGCCACTGGGGATTAATCTCTGGCCCTCTCCCCTCCCTGGAGGGCAGGAGGTGAGGAAGAAAGTTCCAAGCTTCTAATCAAGACTGTCTTTCTGGGGACCAGCCACATCCTGAGGCTGTCTAGGGGCCCACCAGGAGTCGCCCCGTTATAACAAAAGATGCTCATATCACTCAGGAAATTCCAAGGGTTTTAGCAGATCTGTGTCAGGAACTGGGGACAAAGACCAGATATCTTTCTATGAGACCACAATTGTGAAAACAAATTTTTTTTATTGGGATGAAATTCACATAACATAGAGTTAACCGTTTCAAAGCACACAATTCAATGGCATTTAGTGCATTCACAGTATTGTGCAAGCACCACCTCTCTAGTCGCAAAATTTTCATCTCCCCATCCCCTCACCCCCATCTTCTGGCAACCTCTAATCTGCTTTCTGTTCTATGGATTTGCCTAGTCTAGACATTTCGTATGAAAGGAATCATACATGTGTCCGGCTGCTTTCACTCAGTGTGGTGTTTTCAAGGTTCATCCGAGTTGTAGCGTGTGTCAGTGCTTCCTTCCTTTTTAGGGCTGAATAATATTCCCCTTATTATTAAGGGGATGGACCACATTTTTTCCATCCATTCGTCTATGGACACTTGGGTTGTTTCCATGTTTCAGCTACTGTGAATAATGCTGCTGTGAACATGAGTATACAAATATCTCTTTGAGACCCTGCTTTCAGTTCTTTTGAGTATAGACCCAGAAGTGGAATTGCTGGATCAGAGGGAAAATCTATTTTTAATTTTTTGAGGAACCGCCATACTGTCTTCCACAGCAGCTGCACTGTTTTACATTCCCAAGCAACAGTGCACAAGGCTTCCAATTTCTCTGCATCCTTGTCAACACTTGTTGTTTTCTTTTTTTGATAGTATCCATAATAATGGGTGTGAGTACAAATGACCACCTCTGTCTAGTTCCAGAACATTTTCTTCCTCCAAAAGGAAACCTTGTACCCATTAAGCAGTTCCCCACGTGACTTTTTGTGTCTGGCTTCTTTCACTTGGTGTAATGTTTATGAGTTCATCCACATTGTAGCATGTATCAGAACTTCATTCCTTTTCTTGGCTGAATAATATTCCACTGTAT